TCCATTTTCAACAGCTTTCAACACACTCTATTATATCCTCTGCCTTCACTGTTGTTATGTTTTACGATATTACTGATGCTCTATCATTCTCTTTTCCTTTCCTTCTCTCCCAGAGTTCCATAGAGTAGTTCCACTGTTACAAACATGTTCTACATGTGAGTTTGTATATTCTTGTTTTATGTATATGTTTATCTTCTGGATGTATCTTCCACATATGAGAGAAAACTTGTGGCCTTTGAATTTCTGAGCTTGGCTTAGTTCACTTAACATGATGTCCTCCAATTGCTTCCTTTTACCTTAAAACCACATGTTACTATCCTTAGGCTGAGTAAAACTCCATTGTATATATAAACCACATTTTCTTTTTTTTTCTTTTATTATTCATATGTGCAAACAAGGCTTGGTTCATTTCTCCCCCCTGCCCCCACCCCCTCCCTTACCACCCACTCCAGCCCCCTCCCTCTTCCCCCCACCCCCTCAATACCCAGCAGAAACTATTTTGCCCTTATCTCTAATTTTGTTGTAGAGAGAGTATAAGCAATAATAGGAAGGAACAAGGGGTTTTGCTGGTTGAGATAAGGATAGCTATACAGGGCATTGACTCACATTGATTTCCTGTGCGTGGGTGTTACCTTCTAGGTTAATTCTTTTTGATCTAACCTTTTCTCTAGTTCCTGGTCCCCTTTTCCTATTGGCCTCAGTTGCTTTAAGGTATCTGCTTTAGTTTCTCTGCATTAAGGGCAACAAATGCTAGCTAGTTTTTTAAGTGTCTTACCTATTGTTATTGCCCTTGAATTTGGCCATTCTGACTGGGGTGAGATGAAATCTAAGAGTTGTTTTGATTTGCATCTCTTATAACCAGGGAAGTTGACCATTTCTTCATGTATTTCCTGTCCATTTTTACCTCTTCCTTGGGGAATTCTCTGTTTAATTAATGTACCAATTTCTTCATTGGGATGTTGATTCATCTAAGGTTGAATTTTTTGAGTTCTGTGTAGATTTTGGATATTAGTCCTTTATTGGATGCATAGCTGGCAAAGATTTTCTCCTCTTCTAGGGACTGTTTCTTTAATCTAGTAACTGTTTCTTTTGTTGGGCCGAAGCTCTTTAGTTTGATGCAATCCCATTTGTTCATTCTTTCTCTTAGATGCTGAGTCTTTTGAGTTCTACTTAGGAAGTCATTCCTTATACCTATAGGTTCCAATGTATTTCTTACTACTTCCTGGAATTGTTTCAAAGTTTCAGGCCTTATATGTTAAGGTCTTTCATCCAGTTTGAGTTGATTATCACAATATCTTACTTCAAACTATACTACAGGACCATAAAAATAAGAACAGCATGGTACTGGCCCAAAAAGAGACAGAAAGACCAATGGATCAGAACACCCATACATAAATGCAGACATCTATCTACAGCCAACTGATATTTGACACAATGGAGAAAACACATCTTCTTCAACAAATGTTTATGGGAAAAGTGGATATCCACATGTAGAAGACTGAAACTAGATCCCTGTCTTTCACCCTTTACTGAAAACTGGACTTTTAATACATTCATGTGGCAATTCTTAAATATAAATTCTTCTTCTTATCCAAAGTCATATTTTTTGTTTTCTGTGGATATGATTGTTTATTTAATAAGTTTTATAATTTTTAAAATAGCATACTCTTGGTCACATATGATCTGATACCTTGGTTACTCTCCTCTCAGACAGTTAGCAGATTCATGTTTTTCTACAGTAACATTTCCATGAAATACCTTAAATCTATCATTCTCCTTGCCTCTATATGTTATAAAGAATTGGTAGCTGCATCCAGGGACCACTAAATTATCTGAATTAATCTCTCATCTCAGGATCCTTAATTTAATGTCAACCTCAAGCTAATGTCATGTAAGGTATTATTATAGCTTCTAAATATTAGGTTCTGATAATTTGGGGAATATTACTTAGACAACTACAGATTTGTATCTCGCTTATGCTATTACATGTCGTCTCACAAATTGTATAATAAATGGAGATCTCTCCATCTATATGTTATTCAAAATCACCTGCTGATGAAGGCATTGCCATCTATATATACATATGTCAGAGTGATAAGTCTGATGATTTCCATAGTAGGAGTGAAGACAACTGGAATTTTACGTTACTTCAACAAATATAGCAGTAGTATTGATGCAGTAATATTCATAATAACAATTAATAATAATAATGTTCTTCCCATAGCTCATTATCACCATCCCTTGCATATACTGCCTGGCAGGAAACGGGGCTAGAAGATGTAGGGGAACAGGTGAATTATTTCTGTACCACTATTTTTGTGGCCCATACCGTATCAAATTTTACAAGTAATCGGTGATAATATGAAATCCACAGAGCCCCTGAGAGGTGGTAGTGTTGTGCTGTATTTTGCATATATGTCATGGACCAATCCTGAAAATCCTGTGAGGATGTTGTTTTCACCTTGGCTAAAACACAGAGGAAGGTTGAAGAGAGCAAAAGAGTTACTAAAATTTTAGTCGTAGTAAGCTAAAGGCAGAGAGCCATTGTGTAGTGACATCAATTTCCATAGGAGAAAAGGGTGATAAGTCTGTTTGATGATGTGGACTAATATGTACTATGCAAATGAAAGGATAAATTTATCACTTTTGTTGAAAAAAGTCATTCGCAGGCCTGAAATATGATGGTAACATATATATGCATTAAAGAACCAAAAATGTGCTAAGGAGATTTCCTGAGATATGTTAGAAAAGTACCAAAAAAGAAATTAAAATCTAAAATTTCACATATGAATAAAAATATGAAACAATTTGAACTGGTTACTATTAGAATGTCAAAGTGAAAGATACTTTCTGAAAACAATTTGGCAATTTCCTATTCAAATAAACAACCACTTGCCACTTCACAAATCAACCTGGCAGCCAAGTATTTAAATTGTATAATAGGCAAAATGACTTGGATAAAAACAATATGATGCTAGGGATTTTAGGTGGGAAAATCAGTTACAAAGGGAAACTCAGATAAACTGGACTAGTTGACTGTAGCAGTGATTACATGACCATATGCTTGAAAAAATCCTTAGAACTGCAAATTTTAAAATATGGTTTTATGGTATAGAAATTATGCCCTAATTTTAACATTTTTCAGAGTAAGAAATAACAAGTAATACAAAAATTTGTGTGCCCAAAACAATAACCAACTTGATTCCCCACTGATAATTTAATTGCTTCTTCCCCAGAAAGTAGGGCTGCAGCTGCAAATAGTCACAGGAGGGAATTCTCCAGAGCTCTTCAATTCTGTATAATTCTCTCCCAATCTCCATTTAAAAGCCATGAAAACCTACTATGATTCCACATCATTTCATTTTAATGATTATAGATTACATGGGATGCTTCATTGGCAATTACTTTTCACTAGAATGATAATCATTGTTAGGAAACATATTCTCTGACCTGCGAATTTGCTGTGAGCCTTCATCCATGGTCAGTGAAAGTATACAAGGATAAAAGCTACATTGATAGACTTTTAATGGATAACTTCTAGAGATTTTCACATACTTCTTTTATTTGTTCTTTTTAGACACAATCTATGAATTATCTGACATATGTTACATCATCAGTTTGTTTTAAAAATTCAGAGAAAGTGACCTACTCCTCTATGAAACAGAAAAAAATTTATTATAAATTTATAAATTAATCCATATAAACCTTTCCTCCTCCATTTTTCTCTGCTTTTGAGAGCTTGGAACATTATGACCACTGCCAGAGAGGGAGAGTGCATTTCTGTAATCATATTTCATTAATGTTCCATGGATGATTTAGGATTTCTGAATGATTAATTTAGGTTGATATATTTTTCTCCAAAAAACTGGTAAGTTTCTGTATTCCATATACATTGTTATTAAGAAGTGCAATTCATATAAAGGCAGGTAGACATCTATACTTGAGTTGTTTAAAAAGTGAAAGAGATGGCATCAACACTTTTATGGAAAATTTAGGTAAATCTATGGGATAAAGGTCTAAACTTTCATCACAAGGTATTCAGTGGTTATCAGGATATATCATAATTGTTTCTGCAAAAAATTTAATAAATGACATTGTGATTGATTACCTGTTAACTTTCTTTTTTTAAATATTTTTACCTAACATAGATTAGGAAATAAGCAAAGTAAACACATGAAAGAATATTGAAGCAATCCGTTAAACAAGAAAAAATGATCTAAATGAATTAACATGCTTGAGCCACACTTCAATTTTTTCCCAAGTCATAAATTATTGAGAGTTGACATTGAATGCACATCTATACTGTCTAGAGGATTTCTTGGAATTTGAACAAAAGTATCAGCTTGTACAAAGATCTAGAGAAGTGAAAGCAGATAGGCGTTATCTACATTAGACATTTTGTCAAGATATCAAATACTGTATACCTCAGTTAACAAATGCATACAAATTTTAAATGGAGTACTTTACCAATTAAAATCTGGCATATTCAGCAGTATGTAATACTCTATATACCTAATTCACCAAAATTGGGTTTCAAGCTCATGCTTATATCTAGAAAATCTTTTTTTTTCATTTTTCTTTTATTATTCATATGTGCATACAAGTCTTGGTTCATTTCTCCCCCCTGCCCCCACCCCCTCCCTTACCACCCACTCTGCCCCCTCCCTCTCCCCCCCCTCAATACCCAGCAGAAACTATTTTGCCCTTATTTCTAATTTTGTTGTAGAGAGAGTATAAGCAATAATAGGAAGGAACAAGGGTTTTTGCTGGTTGAGATAAGGATAGCTATACAGGGCATTGACTCACATTGATTTCCTGTGCGTGGGTGTTACCTTCTAGGTTAATTCTTTTCTAGAAAATCTTAAAGACCAAGTTGTTGTGGGAATCAAAGAATTTATATTCTATTAAGATATTTAGATATTTAGATATTAATTCAATTATTTTTTGAACTAATACTTTTTTCTCATGGATGCAGAGCATCTTGTGATTCTCACATAACATTGATGGTCAACAGGACAGAAGTGACACAGTTCATCCTGATGGGACTGACCAGTGACCCAGATCTGCAGGTTCCCCTTTTTATAGCCTTCCTCCTCATCTACATCACCACCATGTTTGGGAACCTGGGGATGATCCTGCTGATCGTCTTGGACTCTCGTCTCCACACTCCCATGTACTTTTTCCTTGGTAACCTGTCTCTGGTGGATTTTTGTTACTCTTCATCTGTCACTCCCAAGGTCATTGCTGGGCTCCTGATGGGAGACAAGGTCATGTCCTACAATGGTTGTGCCACTCAGATGTTCTTTTTTTCAACCTTTGCCAATGTGGAAAATTACCTCCTGGCCTCAATGGCCTATGACCGCTATGCAGCAGTGTGCAAACCCCTGCATTATATGACCACCATGACAATGAGAGCATGTGCATGTCTGGTCATAGGCTGCTATGTCTTTGGTCTCCTGGATGGCTCCATCTGCACTGGGAACACATTTAATCTCTCCTTCTGTAAATCCAATGTGATACATCATTTTTTCTGTGATATTCCAGCAGTTATGGTTCTCTCTTGCTCAGATTCAAGTGTCAATGAACTGGCTATTATTTGTATAGCCAGCTTTAACATATTTTTTGCCCTCATAGTAATCATAATATCCTACATGTTCATTTTTAGCACCATCTTAAAGATGATCTCAGGTGCTGGACATAAGAAAGCTATGTCCACCTGTGCCTCCCACTTCACTGCAGTCTCCATTTTCTATGGGACTGTTATCTTCATGTATATGCAGCCCAGCTCCAGTCATTCCATGGACTCTGACAAAATTGTGTCTGTGTTTTATATTATGGTCATCCCCATGCTAAATCCTATTGTCTACAGCCTCAGGAATAAGGAAGTCAAGAGTGCATTCACAAAGATTTTTCTGAAGTCAAAGTAATCTTGTGGTTTTCACTTTAACTTTTTGGGATGCACTACACCTATATTCATTCCTCTCAGATTTCCATGTACTGAATCATATTTTAAAATCCTTTCACATCTATGGTGTAGTTGTGTGAGTCTATGTGGATTGGATGGTGACCAACCAACTACACCATAGATGTGAAAGTGCCAAATTCTATGTCTTCTTTAACTGAAGCCTTTAAATTTTTCTCTCCTCTTGGATGTTAGATCTATTAGACTTATACTAGTCATGTCTTATTCCCATCCCTCAGTTGTTTGAGCTCAGAATTATCACCCTAGTCTTCCTCTTTCTCCAGCTTGCACATAGCACATTATGACACTTCTCAGCTTCCTCAATCACATCGTCCCAAAGCCATAACTAATCTTCTCAAATAGGTCTCTAAATATCCTATTGATTCTTTTTCATCAAAATATACTAATAGTTTACTGATTGAGTCATTATTTTAGTTGGAATATTAAGAAAATAATATTTTATCTCTCTCCCTACTAATCTAGGTGTTCTAATTTTAGAACAAACATGATGTACTTTTAAATGAAAGTATATGCTTCTTCCTTGCATGTTTAGTGAACCACACATACATAAAGTGATTATGGCATTTAATAGACATTAATGTTTCTCTTTCAGTCATTTTTATACAGTGAATAAGTTCATGTTGCAATTTTCAAGTGACAAAATATCCACAGTACAAGAAAAATAAACAGGAAAAAGCATGCTTTCATGACTGAAAGTCTTTTAATGATAATACGTTCACATTTAGGGTATGTATAATCTGAAAAACACTTTCTTATGGATGGAAACGCTAATCCTGTTCTCTAATGTGCTTTTTATGCTGCTCTTTTCTAATTTCATTTTCAATATCTTTTTCCCCTTGGGTTATTGAAGTTTACTCTCTTTCACTAAAGTACAGTTTTCCTGTGTCAGATATCTATAAAATAGAATCCCTTCTACTGACAAGGTAGGAAAGGATGTTTGGATATTTCTGTGTGTGTGTGTTTGGTGGCAGGAAACGGTACTGAGTCAAAGTGCTATGGTACAAATATTCAACCAAATCCTCCAGTTTTCAACTCCACCTCTCACTGTGCTTCCTTCCCCAGTCTGAGAAGCTCCAGTTTCTCAATGTTCCTAGGTTTGCATTCCAACTACAACTCACTCTAAGCACTTCAGTAGCTCTCTTAACTGCTCCAGGACAAAATCATGGGCAGACCCATTCCCCATCTTCCAAATGTTGGCATCACTTAAAAATTAACATTTATGGATTGACCATTATAATAATTTTATTAGCATATATTAATTGTACGGAGTAATGGGTTTCATTATATCATATCATATCAATACACATATATATTGCACTTTGATCACATTCACACTCTCTAGTACTGTTTCCCATTTCACATTCCAAACAGTCATTGCCTCCCCCACTAAATTCCACCCATGAGAGAAAACAAGCAACACTTGACTTTGTGAATCTGGCTGATTTTACTTAGCATGTACCTTTAGTTCCATCCATTTTTCTGCAAACAACATTTTCATTCTGGCTGAATAAAATCATATATATATATATGTGTATATATATATATATATATATATATATATATATATATATATATATAAACGTATATGAGTATATATATATAACTGACTTTGATTTTTTAATATATACCTTGAAGTGGTGGTGTAATTCTATGTTTAATTTTTTGAGGAACTTCCATAGTAATGCTTGACTAATTTATACTCCTACCAACCATGTATGAGGATTTGTTTTTCCCTATATGCTAATCGATATTTGTTGTTGTTTTCCCTTGAGGGTAGCTATTTTGACTGAGATGAGTTGGAATCAATGTTGTTTCAATGTGCATTTCCCTAAGCTAAAAATGTTAAATGTTTTGCAAGTTATTTCTTTATTTGAAAAACTGCCTGTTCAACTTATTTGACTATCTAGTCATTGGATTTTTATTCTTCTAGTGTTTATTTTCTTAATTTGTGTACAACCTTATTATTAACCTCCTGCCAGATGTATAGCTGGCAAAATTTTCTCCTATTCTGTATGTTTTCTCCTCATTGTGTTAATTGGGGTTTTTTTATGGGTAGAACTTTTAGTATGATGTAATACCATTTGTCAATTCTTTTCATTATTTCCTGAGCTATTGTAATTCTACTTTGAAACTTCTAGGAGAAAACGCTTCAAGATACAGTCATAGGTAATGATTTTCTAACTTCCAGGCTTTATAGTAAGGTTTTTGATACAATTTGACTTGATCTTTTGTGCATGGTGACAGATGCGGATCTAGTCTTCTACCAAAGAATGTCTGGTTTCCCCACACCACTTGTTAAAAAGGCTGTCCTGTCTTGCATCTGGGTTCTGCCTCCTTTGTCAATAATAAGATGGTGTCACTGTATGGGCTTATTTCTGGATCTTGTCTTCTACTTCATCAGAAAACATGTTTGTTTTGGTGCCAGTAAAATGCTGTTTAGTTACTATGGCTTGGTAGCATAGTTTGAAGTCAAGTATTATGATGCCTCCAGCATTGTCCTTTTGCTCAGTATCGCCTTGACTACCCAGGGTCTTTTGTGTTTCCACGTGAATTTCATGATTGTTGCTCCTGTTCTTTGAAGAATGTCATTGGAATTTACATGGTTATTGCATTGAATCTGTAGGATAGCCATTTTCACAATGTTAATTCTGTTGATCCATGATTATGGGAGTTTTTGCAATCTTCTAATATCTCCTATAATTTCTGCCTTTAGTGTTTTATACTTTTCATTGTAGAGACCTTTCATTGTAGAGATCTTGACTTGTGGTCAAGTTTATGCCTATGAATAACTTTTCATGAATTCTTTTTCAGCAAATTCAATATTTACATATAGAAAAGATAATGATTTTTTTTTGATTTTGTATCCTGTTACTTTGCTGAAAGTTTTTTTCAGATCTAAAAGAGTGTAGTGGTGTCTTTACGATCTTTTAAATATGGAATCCTGTCATCTGAAAACAAGAATAATTTGACTTCTTTTCTCATTTGTATCCCTTTAATTTATTTCTCTTGCCTTAATGTTTTGGATGAGATTCTAAGCATTATATTGAATACAGTGGTAAAAATAGACACCTGTATCTCATTCATGAGTTTAGGTGAAATGCTTTCAGTTTTTCTCTAGTCAGTATAATGTTGGCTAAAACATATAATGTTTTATTATGTTAAGATACAATTCTTGTATTTCTAACTTTCAAGGTTTTTGTTATGTCAAATTTTGTCAAAGGCTTTTTCTGCAGATATTTAATTATGATTTTTGTCCTTGATTCTGTATGTGTGCTGCATTAGCTATGTGCTGAACCATCCTTGTATTCCTGGTTTGAAACCAACTAATCCTTGGTGTATGATCACTTATTTTGCAGTTGAATATGATTTTCAAATATTCTATTGAGGATTTTTACATCTTTCCAAAAATAGTAGTTTTCTTTTTTGTTGTACCCTTATCCAGTTTTGACATCAGAGTAACGTTGGCTACATAGAATGAGTTGTGAAGTATTCCTTCCCTTCCATTTTATGGAATAGTTTGAAAAGCATGAACAATCTTGTAGAACTCAGCAGTGAATAAAATTGTGAGGATTTCCTTGTTGGAATACTTTCTGTGACCTCTTCCATCTCACTCCTCATTGTAGATATATTTAGGTTTCTCATGTCTTCTTTGTTGAATTTTGGCAACTCATATGTTACTAGAAATTTATTCTTTCCTTCTACATGTTCTAATTTATTGAACCATAGGTTTTGTAACTATTCCCTAGTGCTGTTTGGTTTTCAATATTTACAATGTCCTCTCTTTCATGTGTAGTTTTATTGATTTTCATCTTCTCTCACTTTACTTTTATTTAGTTTGGCAAAGAGATTGACAATTTTACTTATGTTCTCAAAAAAAAATCGTTCTTGCCATTCACAGTGGCTCAATCCTATAATCCCAGCTACTAAGGAGATGGAGATCTGGAATTTCCTGGTTCAAGGTCAACCCAAGCAAAAAGTTTGAGACCCCCTTCTCAACTATTAAAAAACCCAGGTGGGGAAATTAGACATGAATATCATAGTTCAGACCAGCCTGGTCATAAAGCAAGACCATATCTCAAAAACAAAATGAAAAAAGTACTGGAAGCATGGCTCAAGTGGTAGAGCATCTGGCTACCAAAGGTAAAGTCTGGAGTTCAACTCCCAGTAACTGCCACAAATTTTTTGTTGGTTCATTGATCCTTTGTACAGCTCTTTTGATTTATACTTTATTAACCACAACTCAGATATTTATTATTTCTTCACTTTTACTGATTTGTGGTTTGGCTTATTGTTGGTTTTCAAAGACCTTGAAGTGCATTACTAGGTTATTTGAGATCTCTCTGGTTTTTAATTGTAGGTACTCATACCTTTAAGCTTCCCTCATAGAGCTGCCTTTGATGTATCACAGAAATTCTGGTAAGTGGTCTTTTTCATTTTCATTTGATTCTAGGAAGGTTTTAATTTCCACCCTGATTTCTTCAAAGACCCAGTGTTAACTCAAAAGTGTATTTTTAAATCTCCATTGTTTCTATATTTTTCTGTAATTTTTCTTGCTATTGATTTTTAGTTTAGTTCCATTAAACTAAACTTATCTCATAAAATACAAGAAATTATTTCAATTTTATTGGCATATATTAATTCTTTAAAATAATAGGTTTCATATTACATTTTCATATATTTATACAATGAACTCTGATCATATTCAATCAACCTTACCCTCTTTTGCTCTCCTCTGCCTTCCCAATGGTCCCATTCTTCTTCCTATATAGTTATTTGTGTCCTTTTTTCTTTTTTAAAATCTAGCTTATACAAATGAGAAAAACATGCAATATTTGTCTTTCTTGGTCTGGCTTTTTTTTTTTTTTGCTTGACACAGCTATCTCTACTTCTCTCCATTTTCCTGCAAATGACATAATTGCACTTTTATTTATAGCTGAATAATAA